CAGTGCAGAGATTGGAACATATACTTAGCGATGACAGCGGGCCGCTAAAGATTTCTACAATAGTCATTCGCACAACTTCACTGAAAAGTATTCTTCTTACTTCCTTTCCCATGCATATCAAAAATGTATCCTCATTGCTCCTAGCTGTATTAAAAAAAGAATGTTTCACTACTGTTACTTGACATTTATTTCAGCTTCAGCAAAACAAGCCCAAGTTCTGAATATAAAGAAATCAGGTTAACTGTTGCTAAATCGTCATGACTACTTCCTGTTACCAAAAGAGAATCGGAACTAGAGCTGGATGGGGAGAAGTTATAATTCCCTTAGCTGTGAAAGACATCAGATAATTCAGTATTCACAAATATGTTTCCTTACTCTGCACCAAGAAATGAATATATAAGGCACATTGCTAAAAATATGACATTTGCTAGAGAGCACCATTTTTCACTATGGAATGACTAACAAAAAATACCACCTACCTACATTCATCACAAAGGCTCCTACACTGCAGTGAGCCTGACTGTCCTGGGGTGAGTGTCTTACTGATAAAACAGAAAAACATTTTTAGAATTCTTCTAGGCACCAACTCTCTTATTTGATTGAAATTGTAGACGAATGTACTATGAGACTTGGTTTAAGACCTCAGCAGTTTTGAATCAACCACTTGTTTAAAGGCCTGTGCATTTTTTTGGCTAGATTGTTTTTCGCCCCTGCAATACTTTCTTAATGACCTAACTGTATTATTCAGGAAAGCTTTTACTTCACCTATCTAGGGCATGTTGCAAGTTCTTGATAGATAAAATTTTATTTAAAGAGATAACATTAAGCAACAGTGACTGAGCTACATTAAATTAACTCAAACAAGCACAATTATATTTATTGAAAAGTTGTTTTATACATCTCAGGATTAACTCTGTAGTTTACGATTTTTGCACCTTTCATAATGATAATTAAGAACACATTTCAGAAGCATATTGTTTATGTTCTGCAAGTAATGAGAACATTTCATTTTTTAACTTCCAGCTAGGGATCTTATTAAAGTAACAATCCTGACAAATAAATAAATAAAAGCTGGGCTCAAATAAGACTGCAAAAATTGCACTATGCAATTTTTTATTTCATGTTTTTGATCTCAAAGCAAATTACAGTTATCTACAAATGTATGCTTAGCACCTGAAAGCATAATGCCTTGATTGCCAAACTAATACAAGTGAATTAAAACTCATATTTCAAAAGCTAAGTAAGGGAATCACCNTGGGCTCAAATAAGACTGCAAAAATTGCACTATGCAATTTTTTATTTCATGTTTTTGATCTCAAAGCAAATTACAGTTATCTACAAATGTATGCTTAGCACCTGAAAGCATAATGCCTTGATTGCCAAACTAATACAAGTGAATTAAAACTCATATTTCAAAAGCTCAGTAAGGGAATCACCAANCAAACTAATACAAGTGAATTAAAACTCATATTTCAAAAGCTAAGTAAGGGAATCACCAGTCATGTGTGTTATTTAAATACAACCATTTACTCAGCCTGCTCCTTCATAAATAAATGCTACAAAAAGCAAATTTTTAAGTGTTAGCTCTAAAAATTAGCAGCATTCTCTGTTCCAGGGCATGGGGTATGTTGTCTAAAAGAGGGCAACCAGAGAGCTAAAATAAAAGCTAAAGTGATGATTTTAAATAGCAACTCCTAAAAGTACTCAATAACCCAGAGATGTTCCAGGATAGAGGGTGTTTTCTCTAATATCAATATTCATTAACACCCGCATTTCCAAAGCAATAACCCATATTTTGGGTTGTTTGATGTTGTTTTCTCTTTAAGACAAACACCAGGGCAAAGTCCAGAGTAAAGCTTATACATTTATGAGAGAAAGAAAGAGAGAGAGATCAAAGGGAAAAAGAACAGACTGAAATTCTTTGGATGGGAACTCTCTCCCTTTTCAACACTGATCAGTTCACCAGGAGCTTGTGTGCAGAGCAGAAGATGAAACAGGCTCACCTTCATTAGCAAGTCTCATACACATAGTTCTATTTTAGCTTCCCACTAGTAAATATTTTAATATGCATAGTATGTTCAGTTTTATGATAAGGACAGCAATGGCTTAACATGTCATTATTGAAGCTTATTTTTAGTTTAAAAACTTGCAAAAGACAACACTAGTTCTTGAACAGAATATTTTAAAAAATCAATGTCCACACACAGAGCATAGCAAAAATATATACTTTTGTTAAAATCTCCTAGAGAGAAAATAGTTTACCAAAAAGATAAAGACTAGCTGAATCTTTCTTTCCTAAAACCTAAGATAAGCAGCTAATCATCTAAAATTAAGCCAAACGGTGTTATGATGTACATTTACTTATTTCTCAAATCACAGTGAACATTGCTTTCCTTTTCATGTTATTTGCAGCATCATAGAAACAAAAGTTCTTATGTGGATGTGCCTCAATGTAAGCATCCTTGGATCCCAGGGAGAAAAGTCAACAAGTAAATAATGTCAAAAATAAGTATCCCAGCTTTTTCCTCCCCTCTCTCCACTGACCACCATGAGGGTCTCTTCAGCAAGAAGCCAGCAGAAAATAACTCCAAGGGGAACTGTCTACAAAACCCAAGCCAATGGGTTCTACTGATAAGAGGAAATGCAGACGAGTTATTCCACACCTAGTCCACCCACCTCTACAGAGTGTACATAACCCGGAGTGAAGTGTTTCAAAGCCTTGTGTTCCAGACGTGGAGGCAAACCTGACAACACACGTTTATTTCCCAAAGTGAAAGATCTCATTTTTCAATAAAGCTTAACTACCTTTCCTTTCTTGCCAGTTTTGGCTCTCAACAGTGGCTTGTCCCTGACATCATTTTTCAGCAACTTCAATAGATCTTCGCCTCCAGCCTCCTTCATTTCTACCCAGTCACTCACTGCCAACACTCCCTCAGGCCCAGCCCTCCCGGTTTCCACCCTCTGCTGCTGGTCCACAAAGTCTAGTGCACTCTGGCTGTGAGCATCTGAATTGCTATGTGGTTTGGAGGGAAAGCTGGGTCTTCTACTAAAAGTAGACAGAAGTTTCCACAGTGGGTTTGCTCTTCTGCTGGTTTAAACAATTCAAGCGGTGCCAGGGTTCGGCGGGGAATAAACTAGGAGGAAACGTGGGGTATCAGGGGAAATGATTACCCCTAAACGCTTTCCCCTTCCATTTCTCATAAGAAAAAGCTTTCCTCTGTGCCATATCCCTATATTTAACAAAATGTAATAGTCTGGAGACTTTGCCTCTGCATGAAATACACATCACACACGTCTTTCCTGTGTTCTTTGCTTTTCAAATACAAGGTATCCGGTGGCTGGGACGCTTCGGAAAAGGCAGCCAGGGGTCCTGTCTCCGTGTCGGACAGAGGTAATGGGAGATCTCTGTTCCGGCCCACGGTCTCTTCACTGTGACCTTGGCCATAACAGAAACGTGTTGTTCCCCAACTTTAACTGGAGCAGCAAATATGCCTCATCCCTGCTTCACTTTTTCCAACAAACCTGGAGTCTTGAAGGAAGCGGTGTCTAAGTTCTGACCTTCCTCCCCCCACCCCCACCCCATTTCCACCAGCCCAACAGCAGGACACCTTTCTCTGGCCCTTCTTCCTTCACCTAAGCAAGGCGGGCACCAGGCGAGCCGGCTCGGGGTCCCGGAGCTGGGCTCCCCGCTGGGCACGCGGGCGGGGCGGGGCGCACGCCCCGGAGCCTCTGCCCCCTGCAGGGCGTTTCTCCAGCCCTCCGCCCGCTGGGCTAGGCACTCCCCGGGGTTCCCCGCAAACCTCTGCTAGTCAAGTTTCCCCGGCGGGTGGGGGCTGAGATCCTGGCCTGAGCAGAGCCGGTCTGAGGGAATCTCTAGGCGAAGCAAGCAGATAGCCCCCTTAAAGCGGCGCAGCGGCGTGGAAAACCCGAGCCTCAGGGAAGGGCGCAGCCCAGAGGAAGGGCGCTCCCGGTCCTGCCTTTGCATTTCCAGGGAGCGGGACATTTAAATTATTTTGTGGTTTGTTGATTTTTTTATTTTTATTTAGTTTTTCTTTTTAAAACCAGCACTGCAGGCAGCCGTGCTCAGGGGCCGAGGGGTG